ACAAAAAAAGGGCGAATCAAAGCAAGAGAAATTATGCTTAGTTGGTGGGGGTAGTAGTGAATCGTTAAAGGGATAAGTAAATCGTGATAGTGAGTTATTGGTATTGGGTGGGAGCGAGGAAGTAGGTTGGTGAGTAGTGGAGACATTTTGGAAATTACTAGGGGTTCCTTGTCCCGAATTAGTGGTTCAGGAGTTATAAACTCCGTAGGCTCAAAGTTCGCCCATTAGTATTTTCCCGCCATGTTTTTTTAGACAATAAAGAGGATTAGGTATTTTGTTTAATCAAGTTTGATTATTAGTGAGTGGTAGTTGTTTGGGGGTTGGTTTTTCCGCTTCTAACCAATCAGCAGTTTCCGCCGCGTCTGAAAATTCTTTCTCTTTGGTTCAATTATCTAACTGGGTTTGTAAATTACCATTCTCGTCAACTTCATCGACTAACCAACGGGCAAGTTTTTCCGCTACTAGGTCTGCTTCTTGTTTTTGGTTGTCTGACTCCGCTCGTAAGTTATCGTAAGCACTTTCTATTTCTTTGGCTCATTGTTCTTCATTTTTTAGTTTCCTTTCGGCTTCGGTTAATTCTTCTTCGAGCGAAATAATTTTTTCATTTTGGGCTTTTTCTCTCTTTCGCAATCTGGTTAATTCGCTGTTATCTACCTGCGGGCAAGTGTGTTCCTGATATTTCTTTTTTCACTTATCGCGGTCGGTTTTGGTTGCTGCTAGTTCGCTATTATCCAGAACGGGGCATTTATGGTTTCTTTGTTCTTGAACTAACTCTCTAATCTTTTGGGTGGCTTTTTGTTTTTTGTCGGTTAATCCTTCCTCTAATTCATTTTGTAAATTCTCGTTTTCTTGGGCTAATTCCCCGTTTTTCGCTATTTGTTCTTGGTGATTTGCTTGGGATTGGCGAAATTTGTCGTCTAGTTGATTGAGATTGTTTTGCAATTCTTCGATTTTATTGCGACAGTCATTAATTATGAGAGTTGAATGGTTATTCTTTCCTTCGGCGGCGGCTAATAAAGCCTTTTCTACTTCCTCGGGGGTTGGTCGTCGTCCTAATTCGGCTTCCAATCAATCCTTTCAAAGTGCAAGCCCGGCAATTATTTCCTTGTCGCGTCGATACTCTCTTTTATAATTTTTAATGAGAAAATCTTTTTCTGCTATTTGCTGGCGATTTTTGGCTAAAAAAATTTTCAGAGCTATTATGGTTAAGTTTTTAACTTTTATTTCTGCTTTTTTCTCGCGGTAATTTTCCCGACTAACTGAGCGAGTAATATCACTTATTTGGAAAGATTTATTTTGCTCTTTTTTTAGTTTTTGTGGATTATTTTCAGGGCTGGGGGTGGTCGAACTAGATTTTTGCTCCTCTGCTGATGTAATTGGTTCCTCCTCTACTTCCTCAACAATCGTGAGATCCGATAATGCTCTCATGCGTTTGGAGTTGTTAGCGAAAAATCTTTTATTTTCAGTGCTAGTGGGGAGTTCACTCTCGCCCAATTCTTTATTTTTGCTCTCTCTCTCTCTCTCTCTCTCTCTCTTACTGACGCTACTTATATCAATTATTTCTTCTTGGCTGACGGGAAATTTACCTTTGCCAGTTTTTTCCGTTTTGTTAAAAGTGTTTAATTTAAGGGGAGATGGTTTTTTGATGCTTGGTTTCATATAATTAACTAATTTATATATATTTTTTTCAATTCCTCCTTTTTATCTTCTGATAGTTTACCAGGACTACCTCAGACATAAGAAAGAATAGCATAATTTTTTATATCTAACTTTCCTTCAATTTTTTCTATTTTTCCCTTTTGAATATTATAAAGTCTAATGGGGAATTCTTTTGGTACTGGTCAATTCTTGCCAACTAATGAGAAACCTTCTTTTTCGTGAATTATTTTGTTATAATCATAATTGTTTTTTTTACCCATATCTTTTTTTCCATCATTATTCTTTTTTTTATTTTCACCTTGTAGAACCAATGGTATAGTCGGAGCTATGTCTAAAGTTTTTCCTTGAATTTCCTTTTTAGTATCTTTTATTTCCCTCCACACTCGATCAGGACTTAAATAAAAGTCATCTGAGTTGGCAATTTTCTTAACTACATAATCACCAAAACTTTCGCCTTTCTCTTCTTTAAATTTTTGATTAAACCTAATAAATCTAGTTCCCATTTCCTCCTTCACTTTCTCAATGTATTTAGGCAACTCATTTTTAAGGACATGACTATATAGCATATAAAGTTCAGCATTAGGTCCATCAAGTAATTTGATATTTTTAGAAATAATGAATTTTTCACTATCTTTTTTTTTACTATATTTTTCTTCATCCTCTATTTCTAATTTGTTTTTGTCTACATAATAAGAAATAAAAATCTTTTCTAATTTAGTGAAATCCGATAAATCTAATTCTCCTTCTAAATCCTCTTCATTAATGTATAACTCCTTTATATTTTCTCTTTCTTCTTTTGGATATTTTTGGTTAAGTCAATCTTGAACTTTTTTAACACTTTCTTCTAATTCTTTTTCTATCTTATATCTATTTCTCAACTCCTCCATGTCATCATCACCTAAGAACTTTTCGGCAGTAACATTATATTTTTCTTTAGCCAATCAGCAAAATTGACCTCTGCAGGTCCTAAGCCAAATTCCATTCATTCTTTGGTTTCTTCCGCACTGAAACCTTTCGCTTCTCACTTTTGTTGTAATTCTGATGTAAAATTTGGGATGAAATTTATGAGATAGTTTTAAGCAGGATTATTCCGTGTGATGAAAAGAGTGCTAATAATTCAAGTATTTTAACCTCAATTATTAGACTAACCTTAGCCACAAAAGGAGGCTTTTTTGTGGCTTAAAGCAGACTCATTTTTATAAAAAAGCAAATTAGTTTATTAAATTAAGAAAAGTTTGGCAAAGGCTTACTTTTAGGATCCAAACTGCAATTAAAAAAAATACAAGAACTAAAAAAGCTAAAAATAAAAATGTTAACAAGATAATTGAATTAGTTGAAAAATTCATTTTATTTCTTTATATTATATTTTTGGTAAAATAGTAAAAAAATAAGAATTGATTAGAAGTAAGAACCATAACTTCGCTGTTCAACTTGGTATTGATATTGATGACTAGTTACTCGCTCACAAAGTTCTTCACTTTCAATTTGTTTATTCATTACATAAATCATATCTTGTTTCTTATCAACGTTTTTTCTTTCGATAAAAGACTTTAATCCTCTGAGATAAGGAAGATAAACTCTGGCTGCTGGTTGCGAACCCCCCCCATATGGACCACTTCCGCTCATCATTCTTAATCGTCTTAGACAATCATTTACTAAATCATTAGCTTCCCGATGTTTATTTCAATTACTTTCATTATTAGCAATTAAAAGAGTAACATTTTCTTCATTAATTTGTCAAATCACTTTTCTTTCCGCTTCTACTAAAGCTTTTGGTAAATAATTTCGTTGAATAAATTCTTGATGAATTTTTAAAGTATTAATGATTACATCTACTTCATTTGAAACATCAGATGAAGACAAATTAGGAATAAAAGTTTGTGCAATATCCACGATTTTAGATGCTAATGCTTTAGAACTACTATCGGTTTCTACATCCTTAGTTAGAATCACATAATGATAAACAATGTTCACTCCGATGTTATCGATTTTGTAGTTATTTCTGAAAACTTGACGAAAATTAGTAAGAAACTTACTTAGGACATTATTAAGAACATAATCTGATGCCTTACCACTAGCTCAATCAATAGTAAAACGAGCTAGTACCCTTATCTTCTTTTCTGATAAAACAGTCACCTAGTGATTTAGTTACATTACCACCAATTGAACCACTTTGGTAGTCGCTGGCTAATTGAATAAGAAAAAGATTAGTTTCTCGGTCACCTAAACTCTCATCAGTTCAATTAAATTTAGCATATCTTCCGTCCTTAAAAAATTCAGCTGCTACTCCACCCATTACTCCTTCTGGATCAATTGTTTTAGAAGTTACTACTCCTAAAATTTTAGCACCAATATTTAATATTGTTTAAAGCCCCAAGGGCTATTTTATTTACTATTATTGTCATATTTTCTTTTATATTTTTACTTTTTTTTTACTAACTTCACTAGTTTAGTCCTAGACAATTAAGGAGTTTAACATACTATTTTGGAAATACCTCCTAAGTTCCTTAATTGTTTTCTTTTGCTTAGTGGATATTCCCTTTGGTCGTTATATCTTCTGTCCCCATATATTTTTTGTTAATTTTATTTTTTTTTACTTATATAGAATACTTATTAAAAAGTATTCTATATTTATAATTTTATAATATAAAAGTTAGTTCGATAATTACTCATTTTTTAGCAAAATTTATTAAACATGCCAACCCTCAACCTCAAAAATATCACCATCACCCAAAAACAAGACAAAAAACTCAATACCTATTATCTAATCATTGACAAAGACACTGATGACGCTTATTTTTGCTTCTCAGGAGCAGTCAAAGACGGTTGACAAGATTTAATCACTGATTATCAGAATATTAAAGAAGTAGAAATCGAGTTTGAGATTAATGACCGCGGCAATAATAAAGTAGTCAGTTTGTATGCGATTAGAGAAGACGAGATTATTGCTTAAAAGTGAATATAATCTGTGCCACCTTAAAAATCCTGAAATTACCCTTAAAAATAATTACTGGATTATTCAGAAAAAAAAAGAAACCAACCAAACAAGAGCAAAACCAACGCCAACATGTGCGAAACTTCACCCCTACTCATTATAGTTGACAAAAACGAGCCGGTAAAAAACTAACCCAAAAACAGCGAAAATATTATCAAAAAAAGCGAAAGAAAGCAAAAAGTTAATAAAACCATTTATATATGACTAACCAAGCCCAAGAACATATTAGCCAACTTACTAATCATAAAAGAATAAAATTCCTAGATATCAGTAATAGAGATTTATCTGGCACGGCTGATCTCAAAGAATTTACGGGTTTAATCAATCTAAATTCTTCTAATAATAAATTTGAAAACTTGGACTTTTTGAATACTTTACCCAATAAAGAGCAATTAAAATCTCTTAATTTCTTTGGTAATCAGATAAAAGAAATAGATTTAGCCCATTTATTAAGCACTTTTCCTAAATTGGAGTATCTGAATTGTGAAAATAATCCTTTATCGGCGAAAAATTTGGATAAAATGACTAGCGAACAGTTTGCCAAATTAGTCCAAGGCATTAAAGATAAAAAGATTAGAATTAATTCTTGAAAAGGCACAGTTTTAATGGATTTGTTGGAATATGCTCAGAAGTTAATTAAAAGCGGTGATAGTTCTCAACAGCAACAGGCTCAGCAATTACAGGCTATTTTACAGAGTAATTCAATTAAAAATGAACAACAACCCACTAATTCTAAACTTCCTTGAATAATTGGAGGAATTGCGATAGTTAGTGTGGCACTAATAATTGGCTATTTATGAGGTAAAAAGAAGAGCAATCATAAATAAAAGAAAGGGAATAAACTTAAAATCAACTTTTTTTCTAATTAGTTGAATAGTTTTGAGTTTTGTATAGAAAAGATAAAAAGCGTGTAAATTATTAAGAAAAAATTATAAATAAATAATATGACAGAAAATAATAACAATAATAAAAACGATGACAAAAATCAGTCATTACAAAAAGAATCCAAAAAAGAAATTACTACTCCAAAAAAAGTTAGTGAACCCATGGATATAGTTGTTGGTTTTCAATCTGGTGCTAACCGGGTGCGACAATACGGAGGCGAAGTTGAATACGGCAAAGAATATGTAAAATTGGACGATAATATTGTTTATGGAAGAGAATATGTAAAATATAGAAACCAAAACAATCAATTAGCAAATGAATTAAAAACCGAGTTTAAAGCTCAAGAGGAAAATAACAAAGCATTAGAGAATATCGTTAACAACCAAAAATTAGCAGCCAAACAAGAAAATTTTTCACAAGAAGAAGAAAAAAAAGTTGAAGTATTAAAAACAGTAGAACCAAATTTAACAAACAATAATAACGATAATTCTGGTAGTAAAGGTAGTGAAAGTTAAGTAAAAAATCAGGGAAGTGCTGGACTTCCCTATATAAAATATAGTCTATGTTAATTGTATTTGTTGGCATCCCTGGTTCGGGCAAGTCAAGTATTGTCAAGGAATTAGCTAATTTGCTAAATGTAAGGTATTTTGCGGAACCGGAAGAAGAGAAGTGAGCTGATGCTGCTAAAGATTGAAAAACCTATGGCAGTTTCTCAATGCTGATGTGATTTCGCTCCATTCGCGTTCCAATGTTAATTGAAGCCGAAAGATTAAGCGAAGAAGGAGAAACTGTTTTAATTGATACTTATTATGACAAACTTCTCCATTATTACATTGATAAGCATTGTATGCGTTGATTACTTTCTCCTTCGGACCGTTATTTTCCAGTGATGAAAGAAATTGCCACCATTGATAATGATATACTTCCCAATGCTGATATTATCATTTTTTTTGAAGTGGATAAAGAGGATTGACTTACTTTTTTGAAAAGTCGGAATCGTCCAACTGACAATGATGAAGAATTTTTAAAAAACTTTGAAACTCAAAGGTTTCTTTTGGAAGCAACCAAAAAATTATGTGAAGAAAAAGGCATAGAGTTAATTACTTTTCCTCGCGGCATTTCCTCGATTGAAGATTCGGCAGCAAAAATTAAAAGCCTTTTGGAGGAAAAACTAGTTAAAAAATAAATTAATTACAATCAAGGATAAATTAAACTTTCGGAAAGTGGCCTAGCGGTAAGGCACCTGGTTTGGGACCAGGGGATCGTGAGTTCGAATCTCGCCTTTCCGACCATTTTTATCATGTCCCAGTTAGAAAGACACTAACTTAAAATTTTCTCAGAATGTCACAACAAAGAGTTAAGCAGAAGATGAATTGCTAAAATTACAATTATAGTAAGAAGAGGAGTAAAGATAACATTAAATATTAAATAAAAATAAGCAAAAACACAAATAAATATGGTAAACTGACAAGAAATTCATCTCAATTTTACGGAGGAACTAGCCCAAAATTGACAAAAAAAAGGTTTTGATTTTGAGCAAACTAAAAAATGGATTAATTTAGGATTTGATCTAAACGATTATGAATTAATATCTTTTATTAGAAATAAATTGAGTTATAATGCGGACAATATATTTGTTGACGGCAGTAATATAGAAACATTTAGAGAAATTTATCAGAAAAGTTTGGAACAAGAGCAACAAGAACAATCAGAGAATTCCCAAATGCAAGAAGAGACAAACCAATCATTTGGTCTAGATTTTCTGTTTGATGAAAATGATGAAGATAGAGAATTGCGAAAGGCTCTGGCTCTTTCACGAGGAGAATGAGATGAAATCGACATGGGCTGATTAACTGATGATAATATTACCTACATTTTGGAAAATGATGAAATAGTTAAAAAGGCTACTGATAGAAATGTTCAAATAAAAACTGATATCGCTAATATTTATTTTCAAATAGAAGAAGCCAAACAAGGTCGAAAAATTACGAACGACTTTTGAGATACTTTGGACACTACCAAAAAACACATAATGTTGCCCTTACGAGTAAGCGGCAATCATTGAAGTTTACTAATCATTATTCAAAATGAAGTGTCTGGAAAGCCCTGATATCTCAATTATATCTCTTCCTTATCCTACGAGACTTCTCAGCAAGAAGTAGAAGAAATTAAACCTTTTTTACAACAAATCCAAGAAAAATTTGAAGGTGAGGGTGTTTTTCTATTTGATGAAAATAACAAATTTAGAATAATAACTAGCGACAATCCCCGGCAACCAAATACTTGGGATTGCGGAGTTTACTTATGTTTATTCGTGGAATTTCTCAGCCAAAATGAACTTTACTTGCTGGATGAGGAGAACCCCTTAATCACTTCCCAAGAAGTAAAGGAATTTCGAGAAAAATGAAAAAATGAAATTGGAGCAGAAAAGTGATGCAAGTGAGATACAAATAATAATCAAAAAAGTGGTGTGGATAAGGACGATGAGGACGCTCAACTAGCCGAAGCAATAAGGTTATCATTACTTATCAACGAAGAGCAACAAGAGCAACAATTACAAGAAATACTATTGTTTTCTTCTCAACAACAAGTTAATTCCCAACAAATCGAAAAAATAGAAACTGAAAATTTACAACAGGAATTGGCAAATGAATTAGAAAAATTAGAATTAGAAGAAAAACAAGCCCAAATCGAAGTTCCGTTTAAAAACTAATTATAGCAATTTAATATTAATAATAAAAAAGATCATGAAAATACTAGCAAAAAAAAAAAAAAACAATCAAGTTAGTATCTGCCGTTCAGCCAGCGATAAAAAATAAATTTAAGTTAAAATTATGAATACAAGAATAGAGCAATTAACTAGGACTTATCTCGATAGTTTAAATTTGTCTCGTTATACGCTAGACGATAACCAAAAGCAAAATATAATTCGCATTAATAACCAAACTAATTGGATAATTTTTAATGCTAGTTCTTTGAGAAGTCGTTATTCTACGGGGGAAGATAAAATTTATGACATAAATTCTCCATATTTACGGGAACTTTTAAAAGAGCAAATCAAAACTTACCACGAGGGAGATTGAAGAGAGACTTTTTCACTCCTAATAGTGATGAGTATAATAATGCAAGCATTAATGACATTGAAATTAAATTTTTTCAATGGTATAGGAGCGAAAGAATATCAACTGGTCGGTACGATTGAGTAGCCGCTAAAAAATCAGCAATGGGAGCAAGTTTTGGAAGTTTAATGATGGACATTAAGGAGGTTGATTTGGCTACGGGGGTAGGTAATAGAAAAGTAGGAGAACTAAATAATCTACTAAATGACCCAGAAATACAAAGTAGCACAGCTCCTCAAATGAACAACAATGACCAAGAAAGAACCCAGCCGAACGAAGAAGCAGAAATCCTGCCGCCACCATCAAATGAGAATAGCCATCACGATAATCAATCACATACCCCTCCATCCTCTACCACTCAAACTATTCAATTTAAGGTTAAAAGTGTTGAAAGGTATGATGTTGACGTCAATTTTTTTTCTATTGAATTAGACTCTCCTATTACCGTAAATGGGCAACGAATTAATTCCATAGATATTACGGGGAGAAAAGCCAACGATGCTTATCAAGATGGAGTTTTGCAAACTGGAAATACTGTTGCTATCACTAATATTATATTTTCCCCTCTTCGAGGAGCAGCAATAAACAGTTACGATGAGTTGTCTATTGGTAGGCATTATGACGAAATTCAAGTTGTCTCCGCGACTGGTAATGACACTTCTCCTCCTCAATTCCCCAATAATCCTGACCCACAACCAACTTCCTTTCCCGAAGTTCAGCAAAAAAATCAACAATTAGCCAGCGAAGAAAATAATCTTTTTCTCTTAGCTTCCGAACTTTTAAAAACTATTGAGGAAAATAGCAAATTAGTTCACGAAGCCCGACCATTAGGATTAAATTTGACCGAAATTTCCGATGACGCCCTTGATTATTTTCAGGAAGAGTTTTTCACCCAATTGGAAGAAGGTCAGCCGCTTAATAGTCGTCATAATCAAAAAATTAGCACTGACAACGAAAAAATTAGACAACGAAAATTAAATCTTAAAAATAATATTTATCAAATATATAACGGCAATGTTAAAAAACTAGCTGAGAGGAAGCAAGAAAGGAATGATCCCTCTGCGCCACCTGAGAATGAATTAACCAAATTGAAAAAGCAAATAACTAAAGAGATAAATGAGGTTCTCGCTGATCCAGATAATTTACGAATCATAAATTTAACTACTCTGGCTAATGGTAAATACCAGGATTGAGAGAATGATATTGAGGCACTGACGATCAAAGAAGAAGTAATTACATATGGAAATGATTTTCTCGCTGCTTTAAAAGAAAAGGGGGCAAAGGAAAAGAAGGAAGAAAAATATAATAAAATTCCTCCCGCAACTAGTTCGCAAAGTTCACCGCAAAATAACATTATTAATAATAGTGCCAAGAAAATAATTAATAATTTGCCCTTACCGGCTGCCAAAAATGCTGCAAAAAATAAAATTAGAGAGTTATTTAATAAATATAAACCTGATTTGGAAAAGATAAAAGAAGTTTGGAAGGGAGAAAAAAGTTGAATGACTTACTTAGAAAAATGCGATAGTCCAGAAAAAGTTGTGGCATTTCTGGAAAAAATAGAACGCACTATTATTGCCCAACGAATCCAAGGTCAAATAAATAATAAAAACAAAGAGCCTGTTTCCCAAAAATATTGAATTATTACCCTCCTAGTAATTAGTTTGATTACTGTTGTTAGCTTAGTAATAATTAGCAAAAAGTCACACCTAAGAAGAAAAAAATAATAATAAATAATAAGGTGTTAGACTTACAAAAATTTTTTACTGGTTTCGAAGATTTGGTTAAGCGTTTAGAATGTCGCGGAGTAAACCAAGAACCGTTGTTAATTATTAGGGAAAAATTAATTAGACAAAAAGAATTAATTAAAATAACTAATGAACTGCGGCAAAGAAGAAACCAATTAAGTTTAGAAGGTCAAAAAAACGCGGAAAAAGTCAAAAAAATTAAGGAGGAGATTGCTTTATCAGAAAAAGAATTGAATGAATTAGAAACAGAATTAAACAATCTAACCAGTCAACTTCCTAATCTTCCAACTCTTGATACCCCTAATAGTGAAGAAGGGGATAGGATTATTGACAATACCGAATATCAACATAACATTCAACATAATTTAACCCATGAGAAAATATTGGAAAAATTAGCAATAATTGATGAAGAGAAAAGTATAAGACTTTCCGGTAGTAAGTTCGCTGTTTACCAAGACTTTGGCAGCCAATTATTACATGCTCTCATTAATTTCATGCGAGCAGAAAATAGCAACCGTGGTTATCGTTTATTCGACATTCCTTATTTAGTAAACGCCCATAATCTCTATAACACTGGACAGTTTCACAAATTTCAAGATAATCTTTACAAGCTAGAAGAAAATAATTTTTACTTGCTCCCTACGGCCGAGGTAGGTTTAGTTAATCTTTATCAAAACCAAATATTAACAGAGGGGAATTTACCCTTAAAATTATGCGCTTACAGCCCCTGTTTTCGGGCGGAAAGAATGGCGGCTGGACAAGAAAATAAAGGCTTAATTCGTCTTCACCAATTTCATAAAGTGGAGTTAGTGAAAATAGTTAAACCAGAAAATTCTTACCACGAATTGAAAACATTATTAACCGATGCCCGCAACATTCTCCATTGCTTAAAAATTCCTCACCGCGTAATCGAACTTTGCCACCAAGAATTAGGATTTACTGCCGCCAAAACTTACGATATTGAAGTCTGATTGCCAATCAGCAAAAAATGGTTAGAAATTTCCTCATGTAGTAATTGTGAGGATTTTCAAAGTCGGCGGGCGCAAGTTAGAGTAAAAAATGGAGAAAAAAAATATTATCCTCATACTCTTAACGGTTCGGCTCTGGCCGTTGACCGCTTAATTGTTACTTTGTGTGAATATTACTATAATGAAAAAGAAAATTGTTTAATGATTCCCGAAGTTTTACAAAAGTATTATTAAGATTGCTTATCATCAAAAAAAGTTTATAAAATAAACTATATAGGGATTATTAAATTGCTCTATACTAACGCAAACATAACAAAAATTAAAGTAACGGAAGCATTATTAACTAAATCCAAACCTGAGAAAGACAAATAAATGAGGAAAAGTTAACCAATTTAGAACAATATAATTTAATTAATAATATGGTAGAAAAAAAATATTACAAAATCTTAGAAATAAATGAGGGCGCAACCCAAGAAGAAATAAAAAAAAATTATCGGAGATTAGCTTTAATATGGCATCCGGATAAAAATCCTAACAACATAGAAGAAGCTGAAAAGAAAATCAAAGAAATCAATTTTGCTTATGAGGTTTTGAGTAACAAAAATGGGTCAGTTGAAAAATATGGCTGTGATTATGGTGAAGAAATTTCAGACGGAAAATCAGCGGTGAAAAAGTATTCAAATGAAAAAATGAACTGGATTTTTACTGAACTTCGCAACTTCAAAATGAATTATGAAACAAACGCAAGAATCGCAGGGGAAAATGGAGAAGAACCGCCAATAATAAGTGATTATCACTTAATAAGAGGAAAAAGATTATTACAAATACTTTATTCATATTATTTCCCAATATATAAAAAAATGGGCTGGGTCAATTTTCATCAAAAATATGTTTCCGTTTTTGAGGATAATGGTCTTGTTTGAATGGATACTACCCAGAATAATAGTAGTTGAGAAAGAAATGTTGAAATATTTAAGGAGAAACTTAATTTTGCCCGTGGCAAGATGGGATTAAATGAACTTACTGATAAAGAATTAGGACTTGTAGAAGGAAAAAACCAAAATGAAAGTCCAAAAATTCCAGGTAATAAAGAGCCTGACAAGATAGATGGAAATCAAGAAAAACCAAAAATTAAAGATGGTATTGCTAATATTGAGGAGTACAACAATTTATACTATTCTGGAAATCACGAAACCATTCGTAAATATTGAGTGTTGAGAAAGTCAATCTATGATGAAGTAGAAAGTTGAAACAAATACAAGGCAGTTAATTCTACTCTCTTGAAACAAATAGAAAGTAAGGTTAGCGAAGCAGAAAAAGGCACTTTCTGAGAAATATGAGTTAAGGACGATGAGGCTAAGATAGAAAAAACTAAAAATTTCAATGAAAGCAAGTTAGAAAAGATGAAAGAAGCGATAAAGCTAATGGAAAAGATTATTGAAGCGGGCAAGAATTACCAGCCAACAACCGAAAATACCCAATCTGGCGACAAAAAGCGGAAAGCGGATGACGAATTTGAAGTTCGCCAGGAAGTTGCGAAAAAAAATAAAACAACCGGCGACGAGTTATCCCGTCTAATTCGCGAAGCCCAAGAACTCACTAATTACCAAGAATTGGAGGCCAAATTAAAAGAGATTGACAAATATCAAGGAGAAGTTGCTTATAACGAACAATACTTAGAAGAGATAAACCAATTAAAAATTAGGTTAGGTAATTTGGATAAAGACAAATATGGAAAAAAAGTTATCAAAGAAATTGAAGATAAATTAACTGAAAGTGGTATTAAGGAAAAAGATTTGGATGAGGAAACTAAAAGTGACTTAGTCAAAATAAGAAATGGTGAAATTAAAGATATCAGCAAAATTAATGAAATTGAAAATAAAATTGTTACCAAAACTGGTGACAAAAAATCCACAGACAGTCTAAATAAATTATTGGAGCAAGCTAAAAAATTAGTCAATGATATTATAAAAGGAAATGCTGATTACCTGGAAAAAGAATTGAAAAAAATCAAGAAAGGTTTGTATGATTTCCAATACAGCAGTAATGTCTACCACAATAAGGCTTATCAAAGCAAAGAAAAGGATGTTAAGTCTATGCTAACCAAATTAGAAAATTATTCAGTCCAAAGCAATACTAATCAACCTTCCAAAGATCTCTTCCGTCCGGAAATTATTATCCCCTTTTTTCTTTTAGCAGTCGTGGTAGTAGCCGCTATAGTGTTAGTGAGAAGAGGAAAAAAATTAAAACAAAATAGGTTATAAATGCCAGAAAATTCTGAAAGTAGTTCAGCCGAAAAAAAAGATATAACCAATTACCTGAAGCATTATGGATTTTTGTTGCCTAATGCCGAAATATATGGTGGTTTAGCCAAGTCCTGGGATTTAGGTCCTTATGGAACAGAATTGAAAAGGAATTTAAAAAATCTGTGGTGAAAGTATTTTATTACTTTTTGCTCCTATAATGTTGGCTGTGATAGTCAAATAATTACTCATCCCCAAGTTTTGGAGGCCTCGGGGCATTTAAAAAACTTTCATGATTGATTAGCAGAGTGTCGCCAGTGTCGCAAAAGATATCGGCTGGATAATTTAATTAGTGCGGAAGAATTTACGACTTTTTTGGAAAAGGGAGACAAAAGTAATTACTTGCTGAAAGTTAATTGCCGTAATTGTGGTAAAAATAGTTTTGATCCTCCCCGGCAATTTAACTTGCTCTTGACTACCAACTTAGAAATTACGGAGGAGAAAGAAAATACTGTCTACCTACGTCCCGAAACTTGTCAAGGGATATTTACTAATTTTTTGGCTATTCAAAAAAGTACTCGTCGGCAACTACCATTTGGAATTGGACAAATTGGCAAAAGTTTTCGCAATGAAATCACGCTCCATCATGGTATTTTCCGCACCCGCGAATTCGAGCAAATGGAGTTAGAATTTTTTTGTCGGGATGAGGAAAGCGAACAATGATGAAAATATTGAACAGAAAAAAGTTGAGACTTTCTCGCTAAAATTATTGTTAATGACAAAAGGAGAATCAAAAAAATAGACTTAAAAACCGAGGAGTTGCCTCACTATGCTAAAAAGACCCAGGACCTTTACTTTTGATATCATTTTGGCTGAGGTGAATTATGTAGTAATAGCCACCGCGGCAATTATGATTTGACCCAACATAGTCAATGTTCTGGAAAAGATTTCAGCATTAATGGCATTATTCCCCAGGTAATTGAAGTCTCTTTTGGCGTAGAAAGATTAATGTTGGCAATATTAGAAGACAGTTATCAGAAAGAAGCAATAAAAAATTCTCGCGGTGAAGACAACGAAAGAGAAGTATTAAAGTTACCTCCACTATTAGCGCCCTATTTTGTTGCTATTATTCCGCTCAGCAAAAAGGAAAAAAAAATTGCTCATCAGTTATATCTTGACTTACTTCCCTCGGTCCATTTCAATTTGGCCTATGAAGAGGCTCCCAACATCGGAAAGGCTTATCGCCGGCAAGATGCCATTGGCACTTATTACTGCCTCACAATAGATGATAAAACTATCCAGGATAATACCATTACTCTACGCTACCGAGACACCACGAAACAAATAAAGTTGGCGGCTGATTTTAGTTCGCTTAAAAATTATTTAAATAGTTTATATGAAAAAGATTGACAAGAATTCACGAAATAGAGGCAGTCAAAGCAATGACATATTAATTTACATCCTTTTGTTGCTCCTAGTTGTGCTGTTGGTCGGTGGTGGCATTTGATGTTGAAATCAATGGCAAAAAAAACCCGAACCAGTTTATGACTACAAGTCAGAAATTGGGGAAAGATTAATAACTCCCACTGCGGAAGAAGTAAGTAAATTAATATCAGGCAACCGAAGTCGCTTAAAAACTGTCGAAAGAGTTTTGAATGACAAAGTAAAAGATCGAAAATTAAAACCTAGTGAAAAAGAAGAGGTGCGAAAAGAGTTAAGTAAAGTTAACAAAGAATTGGATAAAACTATCCAAGAATTTGAACTAGAGAAGCTAGAAAAAGATGATCCGGAATTATTAGCTACTATCTACTCCCAATTCTATGAGCAAGGTAAAGTATTGACACGATTAAAGGTAAAAACATCGGTTGACCGACCTTATGAGGAGGTGTGAAATCAGTGAAAGGTTATTCAGCCAAATTGGGAAATTACTTCAGATGAGGAAAAAGAAATAACAGAAAAAATGAATAGGTGAATAAGTAGTTGGTATAATCAGGCTATGGAGGACGAGGACGTGTTGAAAGGGGAAACGAAGTTGACTGAACATATTGTGCCACTATGAGTAGATGGACGAGAGGTCAAAGATAAATATTCCGCTGATGATGTCGCTCACTTTCGAAAAAAATTTGAATTCAAAAATAGGGATGGTAGTTTAAGCCATCTCGACTTAACTCAGCCTTTTCAAATCAAATTTCGGGGCTATACTGGCTTCTTAAAGCCAGAAGACTCCAAAAAGTCTAAGGAGGGAACGGAGACTTTTGGTCTTACTCTTTCAGGTACGACGATTTTTGTAGGAAAAGGACAAAATTATGACTGAGCCGAAGTGAGCGAAAACAACTATCGTTGGATAGAAATCAAATTAAAAAAGGAACTCTTTTTTAATCGGTTAGGTTATGAGGAATGAATAAAAAATGCTAAAAAAGAAGAAAAAGTTACGAGTCGAACTTATCATGATATCTGTTTTGAAGAAGTAGTTGAAACTATTGCTCACGAATTGGCTCATGCTGTAGTTAATTCAATAAGAACTTCATATGAAGGTGAAGAAAAAGGAGGACACGGAAGATTATTCCATGACTTAATGGAAAGAATTGAGAAGATGATGAGAAAAACATCTGAATTTTCTGATTTTAAAGATTGGTGAGATCTAACAAAATAAATAATGGCAAAAAATAATATTGCGATTGATGGACCGGTCGGTTCGGGAAAAACTACTATTGGTCGGTTGTTGGCAAAAAAATTAAATTATCATTTTTTCGATAGCGGTTTATTATATCGTCATTTTGCTTTCTTTTGTCAGAAAAATAATTCGCCTGAAAGCAAGGAGGAAAAAGAAAATTTAATTCGGCTCTGAAAAAATTGGTTGGCGAAGGACAGAGAGAAAATAGTTTCTGACTTGGAAAAAGAACGCGAGCAACTTAGTTCACCAGAAATTAGTGATTTAGCCTCTCAATTGTCTCCGCTCCCAGAATTACGAAAAATTATCCTGGACTTTCAACGGGAATTAACTCAGAAAAAAGGATGAGTAGTAGTCGGGCGAGATATTACTTCCGAAGTTTTACCGAATGCCGAAATCAAGATTTTCTTAACGGCTAGTTTGAGCGAAAGAGCCCGACGGCGAAATAATCAATATGGCAGCAAATTAAGTTCTGAAGAAATAAAAAAAGAATTACAAGAGAGGGATGAGCGCGATAAAAAAAGGAAAATTTCCCCTCTGATAAAAACTGCCGACAGTTGAGAATTAGACACTACCCACTTATCACCAGAAAAAAGTGTCGAAAAAATATTACAACATATGGGAGAAAAATATTAATTATGATAGCAAAAAAAAATTTCAAATCCGAACAGGAATTAGGTGCGGCTTCGACAGAGATAAAAAATATTATTGAAAATATTACCAAGGAGTACGGTGAGGGTGTTATTACTACTTTGGGAGAAAGTAAATTAAAAGCCCAAAAAACTTTATCCACTGGCAGTCTACTGCTCGACCAAGCAATTGGCACCAGTGGCTATGTTTGCGGAAAAATTGTGGAAATATTCGGTTTGGAGTCAAGCGGCAAAAGCACCTTGGCTTTACACGCGGTCAGTGAATGCCAAAAGTCCGGCAAAAAAGCGGCTTACATTGACTTAGAAAATGGATTAGACATCAAATATGTACGAAATATTGGCGTAAAAATTGAGGATTTAATAATTGCTTATCCCAGTAGTGGTGAGGAAGGTTTTGAGATAATCAGTAAATTAATTAAAGGAGGCATTGATCTCATTATTGTTGATTCAGTTTCTAACTTAATTCCCCGGTCCCAGTTAGAAGCTAATTTAGAAAAACACAAAATTGGTTCCCATGCTCTATTAATGTCCTGAGGACTACGCCGATTGAAAAATGAATTAACTAATAAAGAAGTAATTATTATTTTTATTAATCAGATTAGAAACAAAATCAATACTGGTTATTATGGAGGAAATCCTGAAACAACCACCGGCGGAATGGCTTTAAACTTTGACGCTGACTTGCGGATTAAATTGAAAAGAAAGGATAAAATTGAGAAAAATAATGAGTTGATTGGCATTGAGGTCGAAGCTCGCATAGTGAAAAACAAGTTGGCGGCACCGGGCAAAATTGCTAATTTAGAAATAATTTTTGCCCAAGGCATTCAAAAAGAGCGGGAAATTATTGACTTGGCTACTGAATTAAATGTTATTCAAAAGAGTGGAACTTGGTATTCTTATGAAGAAAAAAAATTAGGCCAAGGGAAAGAAAATGTTACCGAATATTTGTTAGAAAATCCGGAATTATATCAGGAAATAGAGAAAATTATTATTGAAACAATAAATAACCATCAAGGATATGCTGACTAATAAAGTAATAAAAAAATTACAGTTAGAACAAGAAAAATTAGATCAATTTATTAGGCAAAAAAAAAATCTAACTGATGCCAACACCAAAGAAAGTTTTATCCGCACCAAAATTGCTCTGTTAGTGGAAATTGGCGAATTAGCCAACGAACTAAAAACTTTTAAACATTGAAAAATCCAAAAGGAGGTTAATTGAGATAAAGCGAAAGAAGAACTAATTGATTGCTTACATTTTTATCTGAGTTGAGTCAATGCCTTTCAAATTGATTTTTCCGATTATAAGTTTCAGAAATTAGTCTCCGAAGCCGACTATAACGAATTACTGCTAGCTCTTTTTTCGGAAACTGAATTGTTTAGTTTAAAAGTTCCCTGAAATGTACTTAAACCAAAAATGCTTGCTTTGCAGGAAAAAACTTGGGAAGATAATATAAGTAAGTTAAATCCAGGAGATAAGGACTATAAAAAAGCCGTAGAAAGTTACAAAGGGATTAAAGAGGAACAAAAAAAAATTGTTGAAAAAATGAGTAATAGTTTTTTAGCTGAGATGGAAATTGAGAAAAATAAAGCCAATTTCCATCGTTGATTAATAATCTTTGAAGAATTAGCCCAAAAAATGGGAATGAAAGAGGAAAAAGATATTTATGAAACTTATATGAAAAAAAACCAAAAAAATAGAGAAAGACAAGAGAAAAATTATTAAAATAGTAATTAAAAATTATGGATAACAAAAATTTAATACCTCAAACGGAAGAAATCAGAGAATTAGCCCCCGAAGACTTAAAGACTAAAAAAGAAAATAATAAAGAATTTATTTGTAATAACCTGGACAAATATTTAGTTGATACACATGGGAATTTTTATCATACTGATCCAGAAATGATGGGAAGCAAATACTATTATATAGGTAAGGGTTTGGTTTATGAATATGAAAAGGTTATAGAGAGTATAGCGACAATGATTATTAATGAAAAAGATAATGAGGGAAATAGAGTTTGAAAAATTCAAGATAATAATTATCGCAATAAAGAGGATGGCAGAATAATGTTTTCAAGCGGTTTTCCTTCTGAACGAAATGAGCAAATTAGAAAAGCATTATCAGAAAATATTAATAAACCTAGTGTAAATCAAGCAGCAATTCATCAAGCAACATTTGCACAACAACCAGGAAGAATGATGGAAGTAAGGAGAAGAAGGGATCAAACAATGTTTCAAAATGATTGAATTAACTAAATATCAACTTACCAAACGTCAATAATGAAGATGGTGGATAAATTAATATTATTATCAAATACTCGGTTAAATAATAATAAATAAAGTTTATGGAAAAGAAAGTCAATATTTTACAAGGCGGTAGTGTTTACTTCTTCTATCGCCCAAAGGTCGAAAATAATGCCATTCAGAAGGAAGAAGTGCAACGTTTTTTTTTCGTTTTACAACCCCAAAATCAAAGTAAATATCAATTATTAATTGTCGGAAAAAAACAACTGCCCACAACCGAAAAAAATAGTTACTTTTTGTTTTTGGAAGCCATTAAAAATAACAAGGAGGAATTATTAGCAGCATTAAATGAAAAGCATTATCTAACCAAAACCAGAGGGGAACGAACTTTACCAGTTTCTCATTGCCTGGGAGCCGGAAAATATTTATTAGTTAGCCATAATAATCACACCCATTTTATTTATCAATTGACTAATCCTTCGCAAGTTAAAGAAATTCAAAAAGAGTTTAATTTACAAAAAGAAGACGACTATTTAATTAATATTAAAAATCCCCAAGCTGCTACGCCACCAGGAGTGGGGCTGGCCGAAAAGCAAAAAGTTAAATTTCCTCCTTCTTTACAAAATAAGTTTGCTCATTATTCTTTTATTCCTCTTGCTACCAGTGAATTTTTGAATTATGAGGGAGCAGAATTGCTATTAATTTCCACGGGAAAAGAAAATTTAACCAGTCGAGTAAGCGAACTAGAATCCTGCCTCAAAAAAATACATCCTGATAATTTGTTGGATGAATTTGCTAAAATAAGTTCTCCTGTCGTCCTATCTCCAATTAAGGAATAAATAATAATAGTTATGGTAAGGCAAAATATTTATACTAAACTCCAACTCATTCAATCCGAAGTTAAAGAACTGATTCGGACCGAGGAAAACAAGTTCCAAAAATATAAGTTTTTTAATGAATTACAAGTTCTGAAATTATTAAGACCATTGTTGGGTAAATACCAACTAACTATTTTATTAAGTGATGATATTAGTCAACCCTTTATTCATGAAAAGGATGGTAAAGAACATTACGTCAAATACTTAAAAAAGTTAGAAATAGTTGATAGTGAAAATCCGGATCAGAAGCTCCTCTTTAACTTTTGAGCAGCGGGTAGTAATGTCGATTTAGCCAAAGCCAAAGGTTCCAGTGAAACTTATGCTATTAAGTATATGCTCTCCAAGTTCTTCCTCATGCCCGTGAAGGATGAAGGGGACCCAGATTATCGACAA